TCTTTACAGTAGGTTTATTGCTCCTAAATGCTCGAACAGTTAGGAGTTAGTTATAAAGCCGTAAATTTGCAGTTTTTGAAGGTGAACTGAGTTTGGAGAAACAGCGGTAGTTTTATCGGTAGTTTACACTTTATAGAATACTGGCAGTCGTCACTAGTTAAGGTTGGATTTCTGGTCAAATGGAAACAGAAAATTACCCAGTAATTTAATTGAAACGGTAGACTTTAATAGAATATGACACAGATCAAACGAGAAAAATAAGTAATTTATTGTTTTATTGGCTTTATTATTTTCTACACTTTCAATATTCTCATTTTGAAGCTAGGATATTGCTCGTTTTCAGATGCTATAACAGGTATTTAATAGTCACTTTTGCTATTGCGTCACTCTCCAATGTTTCTCAGCATTCATAACCATTTCTAAACTCTTTATTTCTACTAGTAATGAAGACAAAACGAAAGGTTTTGAGACCACATTTCAAGAAACGTTTCATAAACGTTTGCATAGATGGCGTAATACGATTTGTAACTAAACCTGGCTGGTTGAGCAGACTTTTTCCTGGTTGATTTTATTTATTATGTTTGTGTGTATTTTGTTTATTATTCAAAAAAAACTGCATTTAAACCGAGGCTTATGTTTTTTTCGAATATGCTCTTTCAGAAACATTGTTCTTTGTTAATTCCAATAAAAAATTGAACCGTTCACTCATCTCCAACAACCTCCTCAAAAGGCTTTGATAAAATTTTGTCCACACAATAGTTCTTCTGTATAAACTATGCCACTAACCTATTAAACTTACCTGCAACATCACTAAATAAGTGATAACATAAAAATTAGTCGACTTCTGTTGGTGGTGATGGTTCAGCAAACTCAGCTTCGCTATAGAAGTCAATCAATTACAGTAGAGAAAAAAGTTTCAAGACGAAAAATTAAAATTGTTTTTGGCATAACACTAGCGATGCCAAAAAAAATGTCGGTAAAAAGTGAATTTTTTTGCTAAAAAATTTTCTACACAAACAAATTTTGGAAGTAAAATTACGTGTTTAAGTGAATCGATTTGGTGGCCTTTTAATGCAATAACTTGTTTCAATTTTTTTGGTTGTAAATGCTGATAAATTGTTATTTTAACAAGTGCAGCTTCAAACCAATGATGAAAATAAAAAAGCTGATGAATAAATAAGATAGATCTGTTTGATAGTGTTTTTTTTGAGCAAGTAATCTTTTCAGATTCTCATGATTGAAATGGTACAGCTGTCTTCAAGTGGTAAAAATCATTGCTGACGATCATGGTTTAGAATAATTTCGTGAAATTTTTCGTTGTTTGCTCAATTACGGCTTTACCTTAAAATTTGCAGTCTCTCACTAAAAGCCACTGCAGTTTGTGAGTAAAAAAAGCTTACATTTTCCATTCAAAGTACAAAAAATAAAATTTTTAATAAAAAATTTATTCACCTATGTATTGCTTTTAAGTTGAAACATTTTATCTATCAGTTGTCAGTGGTTTAGTTTTTCATGTCAGCTAGAAACCAATCTCTTGGCTGCTCCTTTCTTTTAGAGTGGAGCAGCAGACAATAACGGTCGTTTGTTCCACAATTTTGGGCTGTACAGATTGAGAGAAGAAAGAAGACTAAAACAACCTTCTCCTACGAAATTACTTCATCCGCCTGACTTTACTGCCTAATTACGACAGTATAATTTGTACATTAAAAGGCCCTAAAAACTTTCTGACAACTTCACTTACTTGAAAGTAACAATGACAGTAGCACCAAGGCCTGTAGCAGAGAATAACTAAGTCTAGGCTTATAAATAAATTATAAATTTTTCTTATAGTCGATTGGTCACGTTCGATTCTTTTGCTATTATAGTCTGTTGCTGCCACGCGGGTCTTGGGGTTTTTATAAGTTTATTTCACGGACACGGATAAGGAAGTATAACACGAATTTTGAACCTCAAACTTGGGTAAGTAACTTGGGTAAGTGAATCTGGTTACAACGCATTTAAGTAAGCATTTTAAAACGGGTTATAAAAATAAGGCATTAGAAGATACAAACAAAAATAAGGCATTAAAGATACAAGCAAAATCCGGTTAGATACAGGAACACTGGAACGTAGTAACTGTTAGTCCGGATGACTCTCCATCCTCTCCCTCCTTCTGCGGCTTGAGTTATATATCTGCGTCTTCTTGATCTAGGCGGGGTTGAGCTCCCTCAGATCTCACCCCGCTTATCCATTCTTTGTCCTCCAGGCCGTCCTGTCTGCGTTGATCTAATCCTCTGGCTCCCAGGCTTTGGGAGCCTTGGCCAATACCACTTTGTTGCCTCTCCCGGCCTTGGGGGTGTTCGCTGGCGGCGACACTTCCGCCTCCCGTTGATTTAATTGGGCCTCTAGGTCTCGTATATGGTACTTCATATACTCCAGGAAGACCCTCTGCCCCTGGATCTCTTCTTTCTTGAGTTGTTGCTTTTCATTTTCGCTGAGCTCTGGAGGTATACATATTCCTTGCCAAAACGTGGCCACTACCTTGTCCGTGTTCGTGAAATAAATCTATAAAACCCCAAGACCCGCGTGGCAGCAACAAATTCTAACAGCAAAAGAATCAAACGTAACCAATCGACTATAAAAAAATTTATTTATAAGGCTTATCGTTTTGATCAAGAAAAGCTTTTTTCAAAGAGTTAATAATAGAATTTTGATTTTATTAGTGGCATTAAAAAGGCAACTAAAGTTAAAAAAAAAATTAATTTGGAGGTCATTCACGCTGTTGTACACTTCAGATATCTTCCAAAAAGGCTTTAATTAGTGTATTTTTTCTAATAGTAACTCCAAAAAAAGCTACTCGTTTGTTTGCAAAAAAAATCTAACATTACGTAAATTTTAGACTCCTATTTATAATGGGGTGAAACAATTAGATTGTCAGAAAATACAATTCAAACCGTTTCAAAAAGCAAGAACGTTTCCTATAAATCTTTGCTGATGGTTGAAGGGGTACGTGTGCTTTCCGATAAGTTGATTCCACCAACGACCTCTCAAATTCTTGAGTTATACCTTAAATTAGGGTAATTAATCAATTTATTAGCAACTCTTCACCAATATCGATTAACAGTATGCAAGTAAGCAACTGAGCTATTTTAAAAAACGCATTCTCAAGAACACAACGGTAATAGAAAAATGAAGGCATAAAGGTGACAATTCAAGACGAACCTCCTCGTGTAACGACAGTGGATTAAACTACAAGAGAAAACAAGCAACTTTATAACACCGCCAACAAACGATGACCCAAATGCGCCACATCAACGCCTAACCTCACGGTAACATTGCCTTAGGCACAGCCACGTTCTTTGCCTGCGGGAACACCTCTTTTGTTAGCAAAATCTTTTAGCTTTTATGTTTTCAATGCTTCACCGCTCAATAATTGGTCGAATAGACTTAAAATTTTGAGTACCTTTGAGTACCAAGCTTGATAATTGAGGTAGATCAGATATGACGAAGTAAAAACTTATCAACTCTTGAGTGTTTATTATAGACTAAGCTTGCACTGACTTGTTCTGCTAAAAAATAAAACGAGTTTTGCTGAAAAGCTGCTTCTGCCTTCTCAAAATATTTCTTAACTTTTGTTTACCAGTACATTTCTGACTTGCCTTAGACTGATAAAAACTGCTAAGAGCTCATCAGCTTTCAGCTAATCTTCACTAAACTCTTCTAAGCCGCTTTTTATTATTAAGCTTTTTTTTAATATGAATATTTGAATCTGATTCTGCATAAGAGCCACAGATTTGCACAAACTTATTGGGCACTATCTAAGTTTGAAAAATCTTATTCAGAAAGCTTGACTTTTTTTTTGCAGTCAATAGGATTGTCCAGTTGCGTAATAATAGCAGTTTTTTAGAAATTTTTGTCCAAAAAATCTTTTTACTTGTTCAAATAAAATTACTGTTTTGTCAACTTTAACCTTATTTTATAATTGCTATATTCAACATAAAATTATTTTGTTTTTAAGAAATAAAGACTAGAAAAAAAAACGCAACAAAAAATCAAATTTTGAATAAACTGTCTGTGGAATAATGTTGAGAAATTTTAAAATTGTTTCAGTTATCTACACATCAAGTCTTTATCAAAGAATTATCAATCTGTATGACTGAAACAGAGAATAATTAAAGGAAATAATAAATAGAGAATTATGAAGGTATTTGGTAATTTTTTTACAAGATATGATGTCGTAGTGACGAACACCTTCCCGAAGTGAAAACCTACTACGGTAGTAATCCTATTCTCCCTACTTGGGCTTTTCTAATGATACTATAAAGAAAAGAACGTTATTGTTCTTCTGAATTGTTTGGTCAGTGCTTGCGGTGACTCTCCTACTAGTTTGTTACCAGTGAGTTATGCCTCGCGGGTCTTATATAGCAATAGAAATTCATTTATTTCGCCGTAGACAGAACAACTTTTGAACAGCTCCTCAAACTTGAGTAATTAAACCTTCACATAAGGTACGAGCCAAAAACAATTTATAAGCATATAAAACCTTGCTGTCGTCTTATAAGAACAGTCATTGAAAACAATCACGTAAAACAGCAAAAGGAAAACGACGAAACAAAACTCAAATAAATATAGTTTCAGTCTAGCGGACGCTTGCATCAATCCTCTTGCTCCTTTTTGCGGCCTTTTTATATACTCTTGTTCAGCGACTTATCATCGTTCTCCTTATCTTCTTCCTCGGCAAGTTCATCGCTGTGTTAGCTGGGGATCGGTCCTTCTTTTCTTCTTCTTCCAGATAAATACTATCAGTGGCTCACGGGGTTCCTGAGAGTATCTTATCTTTGCCTTCCGGCGACAGATACTATAAATATTTTTGGTAGGATTCCTTGTTGTTGTTGGGTATACAAGCCTGCTTCTCCCAGAGTTCCGGCCTTCTCGTTGACATGTTGCTGCCACGCGGGTCTTGAGGTTTTAATATTTTATTTAGATCAGTCAATACAACCTCAAACTTGGGTAATTGAACCATATAAACAGGAATAGACGTAGAACACAGAGCTCAAACTCGGGGAAACTGGTGAAAGATATAATAAGGCAATAAGAGTCATCGAATGTTAGTAAGAAAAGTTATAAAACTGAATGCAAAAATCACATTTTCTCCTTGCGTTGATGTACTTTTTCTTTTATATGACTCAAGCACTCAGGGTGGGGTTCTTGACGAATTCAAGATCTTCTCCTCCCGCCATCGTAACTCTGCATTTGCGATCCCTTCTCATGAGGCCGTCTCCCTGCGGTATTCCTGCGCTTTTCGTCGCCTTTCTGCTTCTCTCCAGCTTTGGGATCCATTCTTGAGCTATCTCTGATGCTCCTGCAGCTTGTGAACTTTCGTTTGGGAGCGACAGATACGTTAGTTCCATTGCCGGTCGTAATTTAGCCCTTACTTGCCACAGCATCAACCACTAACTGCCAAATTCTCACCTTAGTTTTTTCAAGATTTTCAACTTCTGTGTCTCCGACCCCTTCTGCATTGCTAACCGTCTTCTTACTTAAAATATAAAATAATTTGAATCTTCTTCTTGTTCTTTCTTGTCACTACTCGAATTTCTGGCTTGTCATCCCCAGAATTTGGCTGTCTAGTTGAGTTAACGCTGCCACACGGATCTTGGGCTTTTGAAGTTTTATTTCAGTCGGCGAATACAAATACAGCGATAACCTCAAACTTGGGTAATTAAACCATAAAACAAACATCCTAACAGAGCGTTACAGTTAAAGCATAAAAACGCTCAAGCACCATAGAAGTAAAAACAGCTAGGATCAAATCAAGTTCCCAATGATCACTTTCTTCTGCCTACATGGTATCCGATGCTGAGCGGAGTTGACATCCAGAGTTGATCTGATCCCGACGGCACTTGCTTCTCAATAGGCCGTCGTTTTAGGATTATCTATTCTTTTCCCGCAGTTTTGTCGGGTTTGCATTCATCTTTTCCGGTATCCCCGGCTTGGGGAGACGTTCCCAATCCGCCACTTCCTTCTCTGCAACCTGAGAAGGTTTGCTTTGATGCGACACTCCCGCCTCTTTTGTTTCAAGCTGCTGCTCCAGGCGTTGGAGGTGCAACTTGGCGTACTCCAGGAAGACGCATTGCCCTTCGACTTCTTCAGCCTGTGGTCGGCACTGTACATCCCCTTCTGCATGGGGAAATGTCCATGCCCCTCTTATGGGTCTCAAGAAGCGAAGGTAATTGTTGCCTGAGACGTTGCATCATCTCAGGCAACGGTCTAGTGGCTGGCTGGCTTCTTGAGACTTTATCGGTGGCAGTAGCGACGCGTCCTTCTTCCTGATCTCCTGGGACTTGGAATCCGCCAAAGTAATTAGACAGTCGTTGACTCATTCTGATGCTAGACTGAATATTCTAAAGGATTGAGTCTTCTAATATAGTTATGATAATCTGGCGGGGTTATCGGCGTGATTCATCAGAAG